ATTCCTGGAAGGGCATTTTTATAAGTCACTCTGTGGCTCGATCAATTAACTACCAAATACGTTTTGATTTACGAAATGGACTGTTTCAACGAAAACAAGTTTTCGGAAACAGTCCAAATTTTAAATTATGATCCCAAATACAAACAAAGAGAAATCTAATGCGTTGGTTAAACTTACAGAGCCCAGCCCATGTATTTGTGTTTATTGACTGTTCAAACACATAACAACTATGTTAAAAACAATATTATTAAAATAAAAACAAAACAAATAATCGAGAAAGAAATTTAAGTTTATCAAAAAAATATGCAAAAAAAATCACTTATTTTTTTTTAAGTATCACAAAAACCTCAGTTTGAAAAAGATGATACCTGAGAGGCCCGTTTTGACGCGTTACTACAGTTTAGGCACGTTTTGACTTCGCAACTCACAATGATCGATTAACTTTTACGTTTGTTTTACAAACACGCTTTTTTTTACCACAATCAAAATTTCATTACTTCTAAACCTCTTGAACAAATTGATGAAAATTTTTGCATCAAAACTAACTTGTCAAGGGTTTTTGAGGTATATAAAAATTGTCTCCAGTTAAATAATGATTTTTTGGCTAATTTTTGAAAAAAAATTAAAAAATTTGACAAAAAAATTTTTTTTTTTCAGATTTGGCGATCAAAAAGTGCCTTCTATGATGGACCAGCAAAAAATTTGTTTTTATGTCATAAGTTTGGCTCACTAGGGTATACAAACTGGCAAAATGTTTATAATAAAAAAGTTTAGAAGAACAGTGATTTTTTGAAAAAAAAAGAAAAAAACGTAAAAAAATCAGTTTTTGGCGGGAAAATTCTCAAAAAATCAAAAATCAAGTTTTCTCTCTCTTTACTCCAATAAATTAATTCGGCCACGACAATCATTTTTTGTGATCAGTAAAAATGTCGAAAAACGACCGGAACATTGACTTTTTTGAAATTTGACAAAAAACTTCAAAAAAACCGCAAAAAAACATCAAAAATCTCGAAAAAATTGCAGAAAAAATTTTGGCAAACAATACACCATTCGATTCCCTTAACTGTGCTTGTGTCCAAAAAAAACATCACTTTTTCGCATTTTCTCAACCAAAATTGATTTATTGGGGCTTTTTTGAAAAAAATCGTGATTTTGACAAAAAAAAACGCCCCTTTTTCCCCAAAAAGTGCAACTCATAACATTATTTCGGAAAAACGCCTTCCCAAGTTATATCTTAGAATTTTGTCCTCTACCTACATGCAAAGTTTGAAGAAATTCTATACTGCCGTTTTCGAGAACTTGAATAATTTTTTTTTTTCCTAATTAGGTATTTTTTCTAGTTGACCGGCAAGGAAACCCTACCCTTGCCTAAAGGATTCACAAAGCCGGACCGCGACGACCACCTAGGGGGCAGGGTTGTGTGGTCTATTCTCGACTTTAGTTACTTGCATTGCGTGGGGAAGAATACGAACAGCGCTCAACGCACTCGCAGAAAGAGCACCCTGCGGGTGCTCTTTTTGCTCGAGAACTGTAAGTCGATTTAAATTTTTCAATTTACATATTTTGTCCTAAATTTAACTTTTTTTTACCAGTTGATCTCAGTTAAATTCCCATGATACTTCAAATTGTATTCCTGGATGGGCATTTTTATAAGTCACTCTGTGGCTCGATCAGTTGACTACCAAATACATTTTGATTTACGAAATGAACTGTTTCAACGAAAACAAGTTTTCGGAAACAGTCCAAATTTGTAGTTATGATCCCAAACATAAACAAAGAAAAATCTAATGCGTTGGTTAAACTAACAGAGCCCAGCTTATTTCTTTGTGCTTATCGACTGTTCAAACACATAACAACTATGTTAAAAACTAAGTTATTAAAAATAAAACAAAACAAATTATCGAGAAAGAAATGAAAGTTTATCAACAAAATATGCAAAAAATTCAATTAATTCTTTTTTTATTAGTCATGAAAACCTCAGTTTCAAAAATCTGATACTTGAGAGGCCCGTTTTGACGCGTTACTACAGTTTAGGCACGTTTTGAGTTCGCAGCCCACAATGATCGATTAACTTTGATGTTTGTTTTACAAACACGATTTTTTTATCACAATCAAACTTTCATTACTCTTGAACGACTTGAGTAGAATAGATGATTTTTTTTGCATAAGAACTAACTTGTCAAGGGTTTTTGAGATACATATTAAATGTATCCAGTTAAATAATAATTTTTTGGCTAATTTTTGAAAAAACTTAAAAAAGTTGAAAAAATAATATTTTTTCAGATTTGGCGACCAAAAAGTGCCTTCTATGATGGATCAGCAAAAAAATTGTTCTGAGGCTATAAGTATGGCTCATTGGGGTATATAAAATAGGTAATTGTTTATAATAAAAAAGTTTAGAAGAACTCTGATTTTTTGAAAAAATTAGAAAAAAACGTGAAAAAATCAGTTTTTGGCGGGAAAATTCTCAAAAAATTAAAAACCAAGTTTTCGCTCTCCTTACTCCAATAAACTAATTCGGCCACGACAATCATTTTTGTCATCAGTAAAAATGTCGAGAAACGACCGGAACATAGACTTTTCCGAAATTTGACAAAAAAGTTCGCCAAAAAACATCAAAAATCTCGAAAAAATTGCAGAAAAAATTTTGCCAAAAAATACACCATTCGACTCCCTCAACTGTGCTAGTGTCCAAAAAAAACATCACTTTTTCGTATTTTCTCAACCAAAATTGAGTTATTGGGGCATTTTTGAAAAAAATCGTGATTTCGACCAAAAAAAACGCCCCTTTTTCCCCAAAAAGTGCAACTCATAACATTATTTCGGAAAAACGCCTTCCCAAGTTATATCTTAGAATTTTGTCCTCTACCTACATGCAAAGTTTGAAGAAATTCTATACTGCCGTTCTCGAGAACTTGAATAATTTTTTTATTTTCCTAATTAGGTATTTTTTCTAGTTGACCGGCAAGGAAACCCTACCCTTGCCTAAAGGATTCACAAAGCCGGACCGCGACGACCACCTAGTTCGCAGATCGAACCCGAGACGCAGCCGATTTTTTCTTCTAAATTCGCCTCTAATTTTTACTTTTTCTTATTATAATTTAAAGAGCCGCTTTTTGTCGTGTTGTCGCTGGTGTATGCGAAGCGCAGCTTCGTCTCTGTTTCAGACCTAGTGAAAAAAATTTAAACACAAAACGTATACAATGCTAAATTTAATTCTGTCCGATTAATTTGCTAACAAACCAGCCTGTGATAAATGTGCAAAAACTTTGTTAGGTTTTTTCTGGTAATTGTTTTGCTGATTTGTGTTTTGCTGCTTGCTTCGACTGCCAAGTTTACTGCAGATTGTATTAAAATTATTTTTACCTATAAATAAAAAATTAGTTTTTGTGATGGTTTTGTTCGGCTACATAAGTTCTGTTAGGTTAATCTTTTTTCACCTTTTTTCTGCATGTGTAAGATTTTACTGCGATGCATCTCCTGCGATTTACTAAAAGTCGATGAACGTAATGAAAACTCTTATATAGGTTGTGATAAAATTTAAATTTGTTTTCTGGAAGTGTTAAATTTTGTTCAGGTTCAAATCTGAAATTTCGCGGTTTAACTTTTGATTTCTTTTTAAGTTAAGATCATTTTCTTTGTTAAAAAGAAGGCAAACTCAGCTATCGAAGAGCAAAAGTGTAAAGTCATAAAAACGCGATTGACTAGTTTCAAAAGTGGATTCTATTTTTAGATTTCCCAGAGGAATAGAAATTTTACTTATTGATCCTATTTTCTTAAATTGCGTTAATTTCATCATAAAATTGTTGGCTATATTTTTTCTTACAGTTTTGAAGAATTTTCAGAGATCATCTATCAGTTTCAAAGAGGTTATCTATTTTTTTCTTTGAATTTCGTAGGTTGAGATTTGTTCAAAACTTAAGTATATTGAGTTCTGTTCACATGCGCTCATTGACTATTTTCCAACTGTCTATTGGCTATATATTTTTGTAGCTAATTCGAATGTATTTTTCCAAAATTTTAGATTGGTGTAAGTCAGCCGTTTAACCAAAGTTTTTTCAATGGTTCTAGCCACGTTTTCAATTTTCTCATCGGAGTGTCGAGTCACAATTTTTGATATCATCTGAAAGAAATTGTTGCCCTGAGCTCAACATTAAAAATATAACTTACTGTGATCTATTCTGGTTAAGTTATGCGAGGTTAAAAAACGCCGACAAGAATTAAAATGCTCACGCTATAATTTTACTTGCGAACGCAAGTGACTTGTAACGGAAATTATACTTTTTCCCGAAAACATTTTTTCTTACAAATTTGTGAGAAATTGAACTGGCTTTATTATTGATCATTAAAAATTGCAGGCTTTTCTCTATTGGACTAGAGGTAACACGGGTGTCTTTTCTGCTGGGAAAAGTTTGATTGTCTGAGTTTGATTTGTCTGCTCATTCTTTGGACTATTTCCGAAGCATGGAGTTTTGCAGTCGAATCCCACTTCGGTCACGGTTGGAGGGGTCCCAAAGTCATCCGCCTCCTCAAGGTGGGACCGGCTGCGGCAAAATGGATGACATCTCTCTCCCCCATGGTTGGTCCTGCACAGAGTAGGACCGGGGGCTAATAAAAAAGCATGGAGTTTTCTGCTGTTTCAAAATTTGTTTCCTAGATTCAACAGTCGCTCTGTTATTTGTAGATTTACAGACTCGAAGTTTTTTTTCGATCAAATGGTTTTAGCTCATGTGATATCGACTTGATCTTCATCTTTTTTTTCCTATGATTTAAAGAGCAATATTTGATTTCTTTTATTTTGAGTTTTTCAGAGGGGGATGTGAAGGTTTCCAGTTGTAATGCTTAGTTGCTCAAAATTTTTTGTTATATTTCTTGTTGCATTTTTTTTCTTTTTGGCTGACCGGACGTCTACATAAAACTTAACGACTTAGTATCCGCTCGGCTAATGTAACGTTTTTTGTTTCAATTTTGATGTTAGAATGTGAGAAGTGGCTCTTTAGGTTCTGGACGCGAAGGAGAGGAAGGCGGCTGTAATCCGGAAGAAACTGGGCATCACGCCTCTGCAGCTGATGAGCAAAGATGTGGTGAACAGCTTCAAGAGCCTCAAAGAGACATCTGGTTTGTTTACACTTCATTCATCTAATCCTCTCGGTCATCTCAAACAGTGGTGATACAGGATATAGGTTCAGTTTAAATTTACCCGCTACATTGTATAAGAGAAAACAATATTGTCATTAAACTGGCGATTTTAAGTGAGCGTTAGTGCTATTTTACGGCTTTTCTATTTTTTCTAACCTAAGTCGCATTATTGGTGCCACTTTTGGGTCACCTTTACGGCTTTTTGATAGCATGTGCTTCGACATTCGAATAGAAATAATATAATTAGAGTAATGAATGTAATGAAATTTTCTAACAATATACTTCGCAATTTTTTCAAATGCATAATTTAAACAGAATGTGGCTTATGCCTTCCAATTTATTACATGCAAATTAAGTGTGGATGGCTTCAGTTAATTTTATTCCAGTGACTTGCAAATTTGTGTCTATTTGTATTTGGTGCCACTTTTGCTGCATCGCACTGGCAAGTAGTATTGTATCGTGTCCCGGATCCTAAGGGGGGGGTCCTTCCTAAGGGGGGGGTCCTCACGTAAAGCAAAATCCTAGGAAAGGGGTCCTTAATTTTTTGGAGGACCCCTATCCTAGGATTTTGTAAATGATCGCAAGTTCCCACCCCTAAAGTAAAAGACCCCCTCCTTAGGATCTTGTTAAGCTGAGCTCAACAACCGGGACGCGATACAATAATTCCTTCTAATTCCTTTGAAAGCGGTCCCTTTTCCCGCGATAATTAAAATTAATCGTCCTAATTCCTGAACTTTTCTTTTTTCGTCCTAGTTTCATGTGGATATCATTTCCTGGCTTTCTTTCTTTTCGTCAAAGATTTGTCATGCTATTAAAGTTTATTATTCAAAACAAGCCTAAGGATTTCACACATTTGTTTGAATTAACACTTGGTTTGTGTCTACTAGTTTATTTGCCTGAAGCTATTTATGTTAAAACAGTGATTGAGCTCAATACGAGTATTTTATTAGTTGTAAATTGGTAAAAACCAAAACATATACAAGTCGAAGTATAAAAAGGACGAAGAGTAAAAATCATCTGAAAATATATGTTTCAGACTTTAATGTTTATTGTTTTGGTTTTCTTTGCGGTGTTTTTTAGATGGTCGTTCTTCTGAAGCTTCAGATAAAATAAATGGGTTTTTTATAGGGGGACGTTCACGGACTCGGCTACTAGAAGCTTCTTCTTCTTCTTGCAGCTCTGCTTCTGAGTAGGGCCGCTGTAAAAATCCCCAATCCGGGAGTGTAAAATCGGGAGAACTGTTATCAGTTTCATTGTATGAGTTGGCCCACTCGGTGTCCATGTAAATGTCTTGTAGAAAAGCATTTTCTTCAGCGGCTTTATGGCCAAAGGGCACTGTCGAAATTCCGTCGAAAAGTAGAAAACGTTTTGAGTCGAATGGTGATAATGCAAGTTTGTTTTGTTTCACTGTCATGTTGGTGTGACCTTTCGAAACTATATTATAGTTGTATACTCTCATTGTTTTTCCAGTGAATAATGTGTCCCTGAAGGTTTGGTGGACCAGTTCTCTCTGTGCACTCCGTTTAATTCCTTTGGCACTCAATTTTTGAGTGCCTTCTAAACAATAGCAAAATTATTATTCTTTTCTACAACGTTGGGGATAGCTTCATTTCACTTCAGCAACTCAATTTATACCGAACAAAATTTGATTCATTTTACCAAAAAAGAGCAGAAGACTCTAAATTATGATTAAAAAAGAGGAAACAAGAGGGAATATGTTGTCAGATAAATCAACGTTTAGGCAACATTGTATAATGTTGCCTAAATCAGCTAAATGCCCATAGTTTAATGCAACAAATTAAGGGGTGTAGGTAGGTTGGTGGTGGTATTTTTGTTCTGTAAAAGGTAGGAATGGGGGGTGGAAGGGTGGCTTAAATTTTATTTACCATTAAGGACGACCGAATATAGTTTCGGTTTTAGGGCGATGAATTCTCTGATCGGCTTCCCACCAGTCTCGTCTTTGAACTTCAGCACAACTTTCTTGTTGGTATCCTCGAACAAGAAATGGTCCTTATCGTAATTTGAAAAGTCGAAATCAGCTTTTATTTTCTCCAAGTCTCGGTAAACGTCATCAGTTTTTATGGCGTAAATAAAACTATCCGTGTCGGAGTAAAGGAGTTCCAAGTTTAGATTTGGTTTCATTTTTTGATAGTGAAACTGAAACATGAAACGCTTGGCGAGGTCTAGGATGGTCGCACCAACTATCATAGGTTTATCCCACAATATTTTTGTTACTGAAAAGCTAATTGTGGCTAATTGATCGTCAATGATTTGAAAGCTTTTCATTGTGCTCAGAGCTGTTTTTTGTAAAAGTTCTCTCTCATTCCTTACAATCTCCAGCTTCTTTCTTCCTAATTTAGACTCCATTGTCTTACCGAAAGCTGAATTAACAATTAGCTTGTAGAAGTTCTCCTGGAATTTATTTACCGCGGCTTTTCGTAGGCGGGTGTTGAGGTCGACAAAGGGTGCCATCCAGTGACTTTGGCGGAACTGAAGAACTTTTCCGAGGTGAGTTATTTTCATTCCTAGCTCATGGTACAATTTTAGGGTAAGGTAGTGCAAAACATAACCTTCTTTAGGATGCAAGGTCTGTAGAAGCTTTGGCACTTTTGGCAGTGTGGTGATTCCCAATTTTCCCAACATGTCGACTTGCTCGTTGCTCATTGCACCGATGTCCACTACTTCACGAGAGGGGGCAAGGGGGTAATCAGCAAAGAAGTCGTGAAGCTCTTCGGGTATGGTTAAATTGACTTCAACTATATAACCCCATTCTGATGTTTCGCTGGTGAGCAGTATGTCTGCCAGACTTTTTTCAACTATTGAAAAATCGTTTAAGGGCAAAGGGCAGTGTTTCATTATCCCCCCGTACAAATTGTTTGCATCAATATTGAGGATGTAGCTTGATGGTTCTGAGGGCGAAAAATCGTCGAGGTATTTATTGTTTGCTTTGTAAAATCGGCGCGCGTAAATCGACGACATGCCTCCTCGTATCATTCGCTGCACAAGGTCTAGATGTTCACGGTCCGTTAAGAGTTTCAGTTCGGGCTTACAAACTTTTAGAAAGGCGTCCCCGGAAAGGTTACTTGCCGTGAAGTAACAGGCGCAATCCAGCCCGTATGTTTGATAGCAAACTTCACGAAAAGCTTCGAAAACGGAAGCAAGCAATAGCACATCTGTAGTCAAGTACAAGTCGTGGTAATCACCAAGTGAGCCACACTTCAGTTCGGTGAAAACTTTAAGGGCATGATTGTACTCGCTTCTTGAAACACTCACATCCCCTCCTGTTAGACTATTTTTCCACATTGCTCGTGGGGGAAGGCGAGTTTCTCGGAATTTTTCGAATGAGTTGAAGTATGAGTAGGGGTAATGCCCTTTCTGTTTCAACAGACTGACTTTTTCACGTGAGTGGCCGAGTTTTTCAAAATAGTTCTCCAGCAGAAAAAACTTTTCGTTGGGCAAATTATCGACAAGTTTTGCCAACGATGCCAGCATGAACCTATACGAATCGATGAATCTCAGATTTTCGTAGAGTTTTTTGATTTTTCCGTTTTTGTCCGTGTACGTTTTTATGTAGACTGAGATTGTCAAGGATATATATTTTTCTTCAGATGCGGGTATTACGGAAAAAGTGTTTTCCGAATCGCTTTTTGCCAGCGCTTTGATTATAAAGTGTAAATCATAATTTGACAAATTATGAGCTACCACTGGAATGTAATTTGTTGTTTTTCTATTAACGTTACACTCATTGTGTGCCCAACCCAGAAACTTGTTGGTGTAATGGCAATGATCAAGTACCACTTGATCATTGTCGGAAAAATCATTCTCGCATATCCAACAAATTGTAGCATCTTCCCGTTCCTGGTCTGTTATACCAGTGAAAGTGTAATATTTCCTTTTTTCTACGTAAATTTGTCTCGCTAACGATTCAAGGGAGCTAATTAGCTCTTCCATCACATTCGGTCCTCTTTTAAGCTCAAACTTTAACAGGTCTTTTTTCCCAAATTCGATTACTGCTAACGCGTAGCCGCACGGTTGATGGATTTCAATTGTTTGCGTGCTAGATTTTCGCGGATCAGGTTGCGGTCCGTATACTGGTAAGAGCAGTGACTCCAAATCAAAGTAGATTACTCTGGGTACGTACCAACGAGCTGTTAAGTTTTTGAACTTGTGGTCATCTTTTCCCGGCTTGGGCATTGTTATGACGACATCTTCGTCTTGGTAGCACAGTTCTTGATGTCTTCTCAAAGTTTCGAATGAAGCGCATGTGTGGAAACATTTGCGACAAATCTCAGATTGAAATCGGTGCACTTTGTGCCGCACGTACTCGACCAGTTTCTGGAGATCACTTATCAACACATAGTGATATTTTGATCCATCTGTCAGCAGCAACAAGTCCACAATCAGGCTAGTAGTGAATCTGCTCGATACTCTTATGGGCAACAATTCGCCATCGTTGTACCTGAACAGAAAAATAATTTTTATACCTAGGTTTGAAATGAAATAAAAAGGGTGTTTGAATAGGTGAAGAACATTATTGAAGGAATTTTAAAATTTTTAGAAGGAAATTAGAATTTGCTTACCGGAAGACGTTGATTTGACAATTGTTCAACTTTTCAAATCTGTCCATATCCATCAGACCCATTGGCATTTCGTATTCCCCATTGATTTTCACAATTCCTTCTTTGTCGAGATTGTAGGTTGAGACTTTGTTTTTCTCCAGCCACCGTCTAGATGTGGGGTAGAGGGCCGGCTCATTCACATTGTGATATGCGGCAACAAAGGAGTAGAGAAAGCAACGGTCATCATCTTTAGTGTTGATATTTGTGAGCAGAGTAGATGCTGCGCTGAGTGCATCAGGTAGCTCGAGGTAGGATCCTGCTCTTATTGGTGAGAAGGCCGCGAAACTGATTTGCAATTTTTCAATTCTGTCAATAATCCATCCGCTACCATGAGAAGAGAACGAATTGACTTGGTTGACC